ATGGGCTCATGTGTTTAAACACTTGGTCTTAAGCTGGTGGTACTACTTTCAGAAGTTGTGGAACAATTTGGAGGTGGGACCTAGCTGAAGGATGTGGGTCACTGATATGGGAAGTTTTCTGTGTTCTGGGCCACATTCTGGCATAAATGCTCTATACCCTGATCAGAATCTATATAACAAGCAGCTGCCTCAAAAGTAGCTAATACAGATGTATGTCTTAATGAATGCTCATCCTTGCTAGAAGGGGTTATCCTGTCTCAGTGTTCTGGTTTTCAGACAGAATTATGATCCTATCAGCCAAAGGAGGATGGTTTGTGAGCAATTCTAATGGGGAAAAGATTATAAGTATGTTTAAAGAGTACTTTCAGGAAAAAAATCACATCTTCCTGTACCTTAAATGAGTATTTGAACTTAAGTGTTATAGTTTATACATTTGCCTGTGTTTCTTTGGGTTTTTTATTTGCCTGTGTTTCTTATGCATTAATTTGGCCTTAAACATGATTAAGAGCTTAAGCAGGATTTTTAACTGGTCTTGTATTAACATATAATAAAAATAAAATAATGTAAGACAATACTACAGTTCAATAATTATTTTCAATGTGCATTTCAAAAACCTTCATAATAAAAAGTATATATTAATTAAAATATGCAATTTACTCAATTTTGAGGAACATCCCCTTTAGTATTACAGTAATACCCAAGAAAACTAAAATGAAACCATAGTATAGCCCTGCCAAGCATGGGAACACATACCTTTAATCCCAGCACTCAGGAGACAGAGGCAAGCAGATTTCTGTAAACTCAAGGCAAGCCTGGTCTACAAAGAGAATTCCAGGACAGCCAGGGTTGTTTCACAGAGAAACCTTGTCTGGAAAAACAAAAACCAAAATGCGTGGTTTAGCCTTTAATCCCAGCAGATGGGCGGTGGCAGCCGCTGGATCTCTGTGAGTTCCAGTTCCAGATCATCCAGAGCTAAACAGTGAGACCCTGTCTCAATAAATAGAAGATAGATAGATAGATAGATAGATAGATAGATAGATAGATAGATAGATTCATTCCACATAGTGTCGCTGTGGCTGCCTGGACAAGACCTGAGGAAGATCTGGCCTTTCAACATTCCATCATAATGGGGGAGAAGCTCATGAAGCCTCACCCCTCCTTGGGGAGCTATTGGCAGTCAATGGCTAGGACAGGGTTTTTCATTGGTATAGGCAATGTTAAGTGGCCCATGCTCAAGTAAATACCCCCTCACCGTGCTCATGTAAGCAAGCCTAATTCCACTGAGTCACAAAAATAAAGGAGACTAGCTGGTAAGAAGAGGGTCCAGCAGAGTTGAAAAGAAAATGAGGGCGAATAAAACATTGTATATATTATGAACTTGTCAAAATATAATTTAAAGACGTTCTCTTAGGTCTGATACATAGATGGGCTTAAGTAATGACCCTGTAACTATCTATTTTAATATTGAAATAATATACTAGGAACTGGAGAGATGGCTTAGCAGTTAAGAGCACTGGTTGCTTTCTCAGAGGACCCAGTTCAATTCCTAACACCCACATAGCAGCTCACAACTATCCATGACTCAAGTCCCAGGAGATCCAACGCCCTCTTCTGGCCTCCTCCACAGGTACCAGGCACATATATGGTGCACAGATACACTTTCAGGCAAGCACTCATACACATGAAAATAAATAAAATCTCAAAGAAATAATATGCTGCAATATAGTTTCCTTCTTTGGTTTTATTCTTTTCTAATAAGAGAGTCGAGACTATGAAGGTTCTTTGATTCAAGAGAGACCTACTCTCAAACATTTCTAATCTCCCACTCCTATTTTGGCTTTATGACTGAAAAATTAATTCACTTCACCTTAATATACAACCCATGCAGTCAGTTGACTCCCTACACTTGTTAATACAAATGCTTTCATCTTCTGATGAAGATATTTTAAGGTTGAGGTTGATTTTTTTTGTCAAAGGAAACGAAATAAAGGCAGCATATCCTAAACCCCATCGTTTCTGGGCGTATTTCAACACCCCCTGAGACAGCCATCTGCAAAAATTAACTTCTAAAACACCCTAGCAGCAAAATGCTGCTCAGCTCCATTGCCTCTTCCTCCCAGCACACTTCGGAACCTGAAAAACCAAAACGATGTGAATGCAAGATGCATGTCTGCAAGGAATGCGATGCAATAATCGCATGTCTCCAACTCAATTATGCTATAATTAATCTTAATTACACATTCAATCCTGCCTGAATTAAATCTTGTGTTGCCTACAATTCTACTGTGTTACTTTGAGAAATATAAAATCATCTAAAGCAATATGGTGTTTTCTATTTACTCAGGTATGAGAGATCAACTGTGGTCATCCCAGGTTATTCTTCACCAGGACACGGCATTTTGTGTCCCTGTTTCCCCTTCCCAGGCTCGGAGCAGTCAGCATGTGGGAAAGGAGACGCTGATTACATACCCAGTCACCTGACAGAAGGGGCGGCACCGTCCCTCTTCACATGTTTCTGTTTCTCTTCAGTGCCCTGAAGCTTGACTAAGGACTTGGCATTTGCCTCCTTTTCCGTGTATCATTGTGAGAATTTCCTGGGTTCTCTTTCAATCTTCCTCCTCTGGCTTTCACAGGCACTTATTAACCTTCTTGGAGCTTCTCCAGGCACACCCAGTAACTCCTACGGAGTTAAGGATCTTCTTAGGAGGCGGAAAACTGCACCCACGGCAGCCCCTTTATTGTGGTACAATGCAGACACAGTCAGTGCTATCTGTAAGGCCAATATCATGAGATCCTTTTACCATCCGTTTCTACTGAGCTATGGTGCAAATGGGTTTTGGATTGTTTGTTTGTTTAATATCTTTGGATCCAAGAATTCCAGTATCTAACCCCGTGTTGCTTAGGGGAAAGAAATGTATAGAACTATTAGAAAACATTGTTGTTTTAATATAAAATTGAGGTTTTTATGCAATTCTTTATTTGCTTTCTTAGAACTCAGTTTTCTGATTTTATGTTGATTTTTAACAAAAACAGCCTGTGACTGTCTACACTCCCCAAAGTGCTGGTCGTGTTGCTTTTTACAACTCTGTGCTTGTTTTGCACCAATCTCTTTTCACAAAAGGAAACCTTGTTCTTGAGAAAACATGAGAACTCAAGAATGGTTTGTGGACTGTGGATGCACATGTTTAGGCCCTGAAAAGGACAAGTTTAGCTTATTTGGGGAACAGGACAGAAAACGTTTATTAAAAACAGAGTTCGTACAGCTGACCGGATAAGGGGGAGCTCTTGAACCCCAGACTGATGGCTGAGTGGCCAACATGGGACTGATCAAGACCCCCTGAATGGGGGTGTCAGTGAGGAGGCCTCAGAAATCTCTGGGGCCTTGGGTAGTAGTTTACCATGGTGTATGAATGAGCTTTGGGGGCCCATTCCACATAGACGGATGCTCTCTCAGCCTGGACACATGGGGAAGGGCCTAGGTCCTGCCCTGGATGATATGACAGACTTTGGAGATTCCCCCAAGTAGGGCCTCACCCTCCCTGGGGAAAGATGTGGGGATTGGGTGGGAGGTTGAGGGGGTGCTGTTGGAGGGACAAGGGAGCAGGGGTGGGAGAGGGAGCTGGGATTGACGTCTGAAGCATTCATGTTTCTAATTTAAATAAAAACCTATATTGAGGGAAAGAAGCAGAGTACCTACAGTGGAGTCTGGCAAAAGCACAGTTACATTACACTGAACAAGGGAACTAAAGTGACAGCAAGAAATGAGGATGGCTGTGTTGTGGAAGGAAGAAGACAAGGGACACCTGCAGCGGGAGGGACAATGTAGTGGTGCGACAGCTAGGAACTGGGAGAGTTCAGATGAAAGCTTTGACCATACTACGAAACCCAGGGGCCCATCTGCACCCTTTATGGAAGTTAGGGTGACCCGGAACATCTATTCCACGCAGGGATTCTTATAGCCTCAGAGAAAGGTATGAACTTAGCCTCTTGTTGATTTTCCTCCACTTTCCAGGAAGACCTTTGCAGCAAGAAGCCTCCCTTTATAAGAGGTACCGTGGAGAGCTTTTGGTCTTCTCCATGTTGTGCAGATGACCATTTTCTCCAAGAGACACCAGAAAGAGACCTGTACATATCCTGTCAGCAAAGAACTACTGTAGTACTATTAACGCACCTCTTCTTCTTGCCCTCTTCCTTTGTTTGTTTGTTTGTTGTTTTGAGACAGGGACTCTCTGCATAGTCATAGATGTCCTGGAACTCACTCTGTAGACCAGGCTGTCCTTGAACTCACAGAGATCTGCCTGCCTCTGCCTCCCAAGTGCTGGGATTAAAGGTGTGCACCACCACACCTGACTTAACATACCACCTCTTGATCTGGATCCTAGTTACATCAGAGTGATGTGCTTGTGAAAATGGAATGAGTGTCCTCTTACCCATGTGTGCTCTGTCCTCTTACACATGTGCGCTCTGTCCTCTTACACATGTGTGCTCTGTCCTCTTACACATGTGTGCTTTGCTGTCTTTATGTTACACTTTACATTTTTAGATTTATTTCTTTTATTTTATGTGTATTAGTGTTTTCCTCCTTGCAGTATGTGAACAATGTGCGTTTGGTGCCCTAAGAGGTCAGATGAGATAGCAGACCCCCTGAAACTAGAGTTACAGACAGTTGTGAGCTACCATGTGGGTGCTGGGAATTGAACCCAGGTCCTCTACAACACCAGTAAATGCTCTTAATCACTGAGCCATCTCTCTAACCTCAAGTGCACATTAAAAGGCTGTTTTGGGGGCTACTAAGATGGCTAAGTGGGTAAGATCACTTGATCACTTACTACCAACTCTGGAGACCAAAATGTTGGAAGAACAGAACTGATTCCTGAAAGTTGTCCTCTGAACTGCCCACAAGCTTGAACGTGCACACACACACACTCGCACACGCACACATGATGGGGATAAAGAACAGTTTTCTAATGTAGCTTTCAATCCCTTTAAAATAATTCAGTGGCAGCCCTTATCAAAGCTGTAGCTGCTTCTGCATAGCTGGTGTGGTCAAAAAGAAGCCCCAGCTAACAGTTTTCCTTAATGGTCATGGTTCCCTTTGCTGTAACACATCTGTAAGGTCTTGGGAAAAGACAGCTCCATCTTGACAGTTCTGAGAAGTAGGCAGAGATTTTTGTTTTTTTCTGTTTTTAATTTTTTAAAAATTATTTGGCATTTTAGGCACCAACCCCAATTCCCCCTTCCTTCCCTTCTCCCTTCTCCCCACATCCCCCCTTCCCACCCCCATCCACTCCTCAGAGATGTTAAGGCCTCCCTTGGGGAGTCAACAAAGTCTGGCATACCAACTTGAAGCAGGACCAAGCCCTCCCCCCCTGTGTCAAGGCTGAGCGTGGTATCCCACCACAGGGAATAGGCTCCAAAAAACCAGTTCACACACCTGGGGTAGGCCCTGATGTCACTGCCAGCCCCCCCCACAACAGATAAAGTCACATAACTGTCACCCACATTCAGAGGACCTAGTTTGATCCCATGATGGTTCCCCAGCTGTCAGTTCATAGTTCCTGAGCTCCCACTAGCTCAGGTCAGCTGTCTCTGTTGTTTTCCCCATCATGATCTTGACCCCCCCCCCCTTGTTCATATGATCCCTCCTCCCTCTCTTCAACTGACCTCCAGGAGCTCATCCCAGTGCTTGGCTGTGGGTCCCTGCATCAGTTACTGGATGTAGGTTCTATGATGACAATTAGGGTAGTCACTAATCTGATTACAGGTGAAGGTCCATTCAGACACCCTCTCCACTATTGCTAGGAGTCTTGGCTGGGGTCATCCTTGTGGATTCCTGAGAATTCCAGAGAGCTTTGTTAACACTGGATACTCTATAACTATTGAGTCTCTAACATGGAGTCAGCAGAATAGGACTTGGGAAGCAGTTTGCTGAGCCCAAGGAGTTGTGGACAACTGTGTTAGCTTTAAAAAATGAAGAATTCAAATGGCATTTTTAAAGATTACATTATCAGTTTTTAACATAGAAAAATAAAAAATGTTAAAATTCTAGATGAAATTTGTGGTAGTACAATTCTTAGTTTCTCATCTGCCCTTTTTTTTCATTTTTAAATTTATCTTGTGTGTATGTGTTTGTGGACCAGACACGAATGCTCCATGTCTCCAAGTGGAAGTCAGAGGACCACTTGTAGAAGCTGGGTCTCTCCCTTCCTCCATGAACGTTAAGGAACTGAACTCAGCTTGACAGCTTTGGTGGAAACACCTTTATAGGCCGAACCATTTTCTCAGCCCCATTTGCCTTTTTTTGTTGTTGTTTTGTTTTGTTTTTTGAGTCAGGGTTTCTCTGTATAACAGTCCTGGCTCTCCTGGAACTAGCTCTTGTAGATTAGGCTGGTTTTGAACTCACAGAGATCCACCTGCCTCTGCCTCCTGGGTGCTGGAATTAAAGGTGTGCACCACCAACACCTGGCCCATTTGCCTTTTTGAACCATCAAGATACTACCTATTTTCCCCTACTCTTGAAAAATGCTGACATTTTGCTTTATTGTATTTTGAGACAGAATTTCTGGTAGCCCCAAGCTGGCCTTGAACTCACTATGTAGTTAATGATAGCCTTGAACTTGTAATGTTCCTGCCTTTGCCTGCTAAATGCTGTCTCACACCACCATGCCCAATTTCCATGGTGTTGGGAATCCAACCCAGGACCTAATGCATGCTAAGAAAGCATTCTACCACTGAACAACATTCCTAAGCCCATCTGACATCTTTTCTCAGGTCCCTTATTTTCCCATTCTTTTTCCTGTCCATACACTTTACAGCACTAGGAAACTAAGGCTAGCTGATCTTTTCTATTCCAGAATTAAAACAAGTACCTCAGGATCCTTTCCTTAAATCACAGTATTGAGCCTCAATGTTCACAAAAAACAACTATAACAATTGCACTAAATAAAAGATGTAACTTAAAGACAGGTGGTGGTGGTGCCAGCGGCAGTGCACACCTTTAATTCCAGCAATCGGGAGGCAGAGGCAGGAGGATCTCTGTGAGCTCAAGACCAGCCTGGTCTACAGAGCAAGTTCCAGGACAGTCTCCAAAGCCACAGAGAAAACCTGTCTCAACAAAAAACAAAAACAAAAAACAAAACAGAATAAAAAATATGTAACTTAAGTATTTAGAAGTCTCACTCTTGGAGCTGGAGAGATGATGGTTCAGGGTATAAGAGCACTTGTGGCAAAGGACCCACATGGCAGTTCACAACCATCTGAAACTCCAGCTCCAGGAGATCTGATGCCCTCTTCTGACTACCACACACACCAGGCATGCGCATGGTACACATACATACAAACAGGCAAAACATTCATATGCATAAAATGATTTTTTAATCTTTAAAAGTATTTCTCAATCTAGAACCAGCAAGATGGCTTATCAGGTAAAGGTACTAATCACCAAGCTTGATGGCCTCAGTTCAGTCTCTGAAACCTACATTGTAGAAAGAGAGCTGCCACAAATTGTCCTCTGATCTTTACATACAAGCCATAGTACACACACACACACACACACACACACACATACACACACACACACACACACACACACACACACTAAATGTAAAGAAGAAAAACCTTTCCGCTCTCCAAATGTTTCCTCTTCACCTACTGAGAAACTCCTTTACTCCTTGTAAAGCCCTTGGCACTGACTTGTTACGATTTTCCTGATGAAGTCACTAATTTTGAGTTGAATGCCTTCAAATATAACAAACAATTGTTTTTGAAAGGTATCTTGAGAGTGAGTAATGATCATGTATTACTTAGCTCTGTTTAGGACTCTGTAACTCAAGACTGACTGAAGTCAATAAATAGTGGAAAGAAAGGGTATTGTGGCATGAAGACTATTTATATGTTATACTGGGTTTGTGTTCCTTTGTCATTAATCTTACTGAAGGGCCTTGGAGATTTGATTGGTTTCTGTCTCTGAAATCATACTCACCTAGAGAACTATCACCAAACAGTGAGCTGCATGGCTCTAACATATCATATGTGCCTCTGGAAAATGAGGGGCACAGACAATGGCAACACAAAGATATATTAAAAAATACATAATGTAACTTGTCTTAATATACTTTTCTGAGTCTAAAAATATGCCAGACCAAAAGAAACATATTTACATAAAAAGCAGACAAGGTCAAATAACAAAGAAAGCCCTTAATTAGTTGTAATCAACTTTAATTTGCATACCGTATATAATTCCTAAATGATTGTTAATAATAACTTTATATAATGGACTTCCAATTTTCATGAAAATGGCACATTTTGATAAGCAGACACAAAACCCTAGTACTAATAAGGTTTAATTTGCATACATTAGACTGATTATCCAAACAAAAGGATTACAGTATTACTTCTCCATACCTTTATGTCCTTATTATGCACATTTATTAACTTCACAAAAGCTAGCTGTTAGTGACAAACAATGGCCATGGTTGAAAGAGAAATCTACAGAATGAATAAAGTACATTTTAATGCTAAGGAGCAAAGTTTATACATCATAGATGCCAAATTTAACTGTTTGTTGGTTTAAAGGGCCAGAATTTCACAAAGAGAGTTTCATCCTTTGAATAAAACAGCTTGTTTTTGTGACCTGAAAAAAAATGCCCTAACACATCACTCGATTTTAATAATGAATTTATCTCAAGCTAAGAAGCCTCCTCGACACCACAGTATGCTGAGAATTCATGAACAGCCACAGAATTAAGCTTTAAATGTGTGGTTCTAGGGTGCAGCGTTAATAAATATATTTCAACAAGCTTAGTTTTCAGCAGAGTAAATAATAATATAGGTGGCATTAGTATTGATATCGGTTCCTAATGGTATCATTTATACCCTGCAATTAAAGTTTAAGCACTAAATAAAGCATTATTAGGAGATCTGGGTTGGCTTTTCTTATATGTGAACACAAATGAAGCTCATGAGTGTTTGGATAAGAGCCAAAAAACTTGAAACTTAACCACAAGCTACTTCCGGGGGTTTTCCTAATGTTTTTGCTACTTGGCAAGATACAGAATTAGAGAAGGCAGAGGAAAATGGAAGCCCCAGGAATTGAACTTAACTCTATGGTGTTTAACTCTGACCCCTGACACATAATGTCAAAGATAAGAACCATCTGCTAGGATTTCGCCTGTCTGAATATCCAGTGAGATTTCTACTAGCACGGTGCTAAGTACAAGAGAGAGCTGGCAAGAGAAGGCAGCTCACCTGTGAAACACTTGCTACAAGCCTCACAACCTGAGTTTGATTCCCAAAAACCATGGTGGAAGGACAGAACCCCCTCCACTCCACACGGTTTTCCTTTAACCATCACATGTGTGCTGTAGAATATGCACATCACACACACACACACACACACACACACACACACACACACGAGAGAGAGAGAGAGAGAGAGAGAGAGAGAGATTACTGAAGGACAAATGACTTTACACCTTCCCGTGTTCCTCATGAACTGTTGTTGCTCCATGTTCAGTGTTCCTAAATACTACCACCAAGACTTGAATGAAAGATACCCTTATACTGGCGACCCCATATGGGACAGGATGTTCTGAAATTCCTATGACATTTCCAGAGCTTGGAAAACCCATGATTCAACTGAAGCATTCAATGTTCGCTTGTCAAATACTTGCATAAGAAATACTAGATCAGAGATGACTGCTCTCACATGTGACTTCCCTCCTCTCTAAGTTTCTCAATTGGTCAGAATCAAGTACTCTAGGTTCTAGAATCTAGGAGACATTTGGTGTAAATCAATATTCAACCAGTCTAAGAATGAAGGCTGCAGGGCCAGTTCAGCAGATAAAGGCACTTGACACACAAGCATGGCAACCTAAGTTAGATCCCTGGAAGCCACATAAAGATGAGTGGAGAGAACCAACTCCACAAAGTATTCCTCTGACCTCCACATGCATGCCATGCCATATGTATCCACATATACACAGCAAGCATGAGTATGTGCTGTGTGCAAGTATGTTTGGGTGCGCGCGCGCGTGCACACACACACACACACGCACACACTTATTTTTAAAGAATGGAAGGCTAATGGAAAGTCCTGCTCTCCTAGTCCAGTGGTGCACACTAATAGTGACAGCAC